CCAAATACCTTCAGCCCCGTTTTGTTCACCGCCGGGATCTTTTTAATGAACCTTGAAACCAACCCCGTGGGCGGCGGGGGGTTGGCTCCCGCTTGGGATCAATCGTGTCTGGGCACGGCTGCGATGCGCAGCCGCCGTGCACGGCTGCAGTACACGGCCACGATGTACACGTGCAGTGCACAGCTGCAATATATGGCCACGAGGCACAAATGCAATGCAGAGGTGTGATGCGTGGCCATAATGCATGGCCACAACGCATGGCTGCAGCTCATGGTTGTGGTGCATGGCCACGATGCATGGATTCAATGCGTGGCCACAATGCAAACCTGCAATGCACAGATTCAATGCATGGCCATGATGCGATGCGTGGCCATAATGCATGGCCACAATGCATGGCTGCAGCTCATGGCCACGATGCATGGATTCAATGCATGGCCACAATGCAAAACTGCAATGCACAGATTCAATGCATGGCTGCGATGCACAGCTGCAATTCACAAATGCAATCCGTAGATGGAATGCATGGCCGTGATGCATGGCTGCAGTGCATGGCCGTGATGCAAGGCCACAATGCACAGATTCAATGCATGGCCATGATGCATAGCTGTAATGCACAAATGCAATGCAGAGATGCACTGCATGGCCATGATGCATGGGTGCAATGCATGGCTGCAATATATGGCTGCAATGCATGGCCATGTTGCACGGCCACAATGCGCAAATGCAATGCAGAGATGCCATGCATGGCCATGATGTATGGGTGCAATGCATGGCCATGGTGCATGGCCACAATGTGCAAATGCAATGTATGGCCATGATGCACAAATGCAACACACAGCCATGATGCATGGCCCCAATGCAGTATCACAATGCATAGATGCAGTGCATAGATGCAATGCATGGCCATGATGCACAGCTGCAAGGCACAGCCACAATGCATGGGTGCAATGCATGGCTGTGATGCATGGCCACAATGCCCACGTGCGATGCATGGCGATGATGCAGAGGTGCAACACACAGCCACAGTGCATGGCCACAGTGCACAAGTGCAATTCACGGATGCAACACATGGCCACCATGCGTGGGTGCCATGCGTGGCTGCGATGCATGGCTGCGATGCATGGCCATGATGCACCACCACAATGCATGGTGGCCGTGATGCCTGGGTGCAATGCATGGCTACAATGCGTGGGTGCAATACAAGGCCATGTTGCATGGCCACAATACGCAAATGAAATGTAGAGATGCAGTGCATGGCCATGATGTATGGCTGCAATGTATGGCTGCAATGCATGGCCATGATGCATGGGTGCAATGCATGGGTGCAGTGCATGGCCATGATGCATGGGTGCAATGCATGGGTGCAATGCATGGGTGCAATGCACACGGCCACGATGCCCCACCACAACGCGTGGATGCAATGCATAGATGCAGTGCGTGGCCACGTGGGGCCTGGGTGCTGCAAACCCAGAGCGGTGCGGGCAGAGAGCATCACTTCTGCATTTCCCAACTTCTGCAAAATCCCAGTAACCCCAGTCCCAGTAACTGCCTCACACAAAGTCACCTCCGGGCACTTTTTTTGCCCCTGCTGTACGAATATGTGAGTTAACCTGGTCTGGAATCGTAGAATCATTGACTCATATGGGGTTGGAAGGGTCCTCTGGAGATCATCAAGTCCAACCCCCTCCACCGGAGTGGGTCTACCCAGAGCAGGTTGCACAGGAATGTGTCCAGGTGGGGTTTGAATGTCTCCAGAGAAGGAGACTCCACCACCTCTCTGGGCAGCCTCTTCCAGGGCTCTGCCATCCTTACAGAAAAGAAGTTCCTCCTCATGTTTAGGTGGAACTTCTTGTACTCAAGTTTGTGCCCATTTCCTCTTGTCCTGTCCCTGGGCACCACTGAAAAAAGACTGGCCCCATCCTCCTGACACCCACCCTTTCAGTATTTATAGGTGTTGATCAGATCCCCCCTCAGCCTTCTCTTCTCCAGACTAAAAAGACCCAAGTTCCTCAGCCTTTCTTCATAAGAGAGATGCTCCAGGCCCTTAATCGTCTTTGTGGCCCTTTGCTGTCCCCTCTCCATGCATGGGTGCAATGCATGGGTGCAATGCATGGGTGCAATGCATGGCCATGATGTATGGGTGCAATGCATCACCACAATGTATGGCTGCAATGCATGGCCATGATGCACGAGTGCAATGCATGGCCATGATGCACGGCCACATTGCGCAAATGCAACCCACAGATGCAATAGATGGCCATGATGCACAAATGCAACACACAGCTGCAATGCATGGCCACAGTGCACTACCACAATGCATGGCTGCAATGCAGAGATGCAATGCATGGCCCCAAAGGCATTTTCATTTAGACCAAAAAAACAAAATTTTGATGAAGACATTACACTGCCCTGGGTGCCAGCATAAACCTGTGCCTTAGAAAAGGGGAGGGAACATTTTTAGAGTTTAAAGATCCTTGCTCCTGATGTCATACGTGTGTTTGTGTCCCAGGGGATGGCTGTGGGGTAAAAAGCACTTGAGGAATATTTGTCCTGGAAAATAAGAATTGCCTGGGGTTAGTGGTGGGAGGGGTTTACCCCCTCGGCCCTGGTATGGGTTTAGGGGAAGGCTGGGAGATGGCAAGAGAGAGCCATTCCCATCTGCAAATCACTGTTAGTGATTTTGGTTTATCTTGTTTACAGGGATTGTTTTATTTAACCCTCATTAAGGGCTGGAGATGGGGGGGGAATGATGCTGGAAGCTGCAATGCATGGCCACAGTGCACTACCACAATGCATGGCTGCAATGCAGAGATGCAATGCATGGCCGTGATGCACAGCTGCAGTGCACAAATGCCATGCATGGCCGCAATGCATGGGTGCAATGCATGGCCATGATTTATGCCAGGAAAGCTTTTCCTGAGGTTTTTCTGAACTCGAGCCGGGAGAATAAAACTGCTGGCTCAGGGGTTTATTTTAGGGCTCAGCTGCCATCCTGTGCTGCCCTAACCACGGGGCTGGGGCTGGGGTGAGGGGTGGCCACAGTGGGGTGCACTCGGGGCGGGCATGGCCACAATGCACAGATACAATGCATGGCCATGAGGTATGTGTGCAACACACAGCCATGATGCATGGCCCCAATGCAGCACCACAACGTATAGATACAGTGCATAGACACAATGCATGGCCATGATGCACAGCTGCAAGGCACAGCCACGATGTATGGCCGTGATGCATGGCCACAATACACACATGCGGTGCATGGTGATGATGCAGAGATGCAACACACAGCCACAGTGCATTGGCCACAGTGCACAAGTGCAATTCACAGATGCAACACATGGCCACCATGCATGGGTGCCATGCGTGGCTGCGATGCATGGCTGCGATGCATGGCCATGATGCACCACCACAATGCATGGATGCAATATATGGCTGTGATGCACTTCTACGATACCCAGATGCAACGCACGGCCACGATGCACCACCACAATGCATGGATGCAATGCATAGATGCAGTGCGTGGCCACGTGGGGCCTGGGTGCTGCAAACCCAGAGCGGTGCGGGCAGAGAGCATCACTTCTGCATTTCCCAACTTCTGCAAAATCCCAGTAACCCCAGTCCCAGTAACTGCCTCACACAAAGTCACCTCCGGGCACTTTTTTTGCCCCTGCTGTACGAATATGTGAGTTAACCTGGTCTGGAATCGTAGAATCATTGACTCATATGGGGTTGGAAGGGTCCTCTGGAGATCATCAAGTCCAACCCCCTCCACCGGAGTGGGTCTACCCAGAGCAGGTTGCACAGGAATGTGTCCAGGTGGGGTTTGAATGTCTCCAGAGAAGGAGACTCCACCACCTCTCTGGGCAGCCTCTTCCAGGGCTCTGCCATCCTTACAGAAAAGAAGTTCCTCCTCATGTTTAGGTGGAACTTCTTGTACTCAAGTTTGTGCCCATTTCCTCTTGTCCTGTCCCTGGGCACCACTGAAAAAAGACTGGCCCCATCCTCCTGACACCCACCCTTTCAGTATTTATAGGTGTTGATCAGATCCCCCCTCAGCCTTCTCTTCTCCAGACTAAAAAGACCCAAGTTCCTCAGCCTTTCTTCATAAGAGAGATGCTCCAGGCCCTTAATCGTCTTTGTGGCCCTTTGCTGTCCCCTCTCCAGCAGTTCCCTGTCCTTCTTGAACCCAAAGGCATTTTCATTTAGACCAAAAAAACAAAATTTTGATGAAGACATTACACTGCCCTGGGTGCCAGCATAAACCTGTGCCTTAGAAAAGGGGAGGGAACATTTTTAGAGTTTAAAGATCCTTGCTCCTGATGTCATACGTGTGTTTGTGTCCCAGGGGATGGCTGTGGGGTAAAAAGCACTTGAGGAATATTTGTCCTGGAAAATAAGAATTGCCTGGGGTTAGTGGTGGGAGGGGTTTACCCCCTCGGCCCTGGTATGGGTTTAGGGGAAGGCTGGGAGATGGCAAGAGAGAGCCATTCCCATCTGCAAATCACTGTTAGTGATTTTGGTTTATCTTGTTTACAGGGATTGTTTTATTTAACCCTCATTAAGGGCTGGAGATGGGGGGGGAATGATGCTGGAAGGGATGGGGGGGGTCCTGCCATGGGCTGCAAATCCTCCCCCGCCGCCGTGCCGCTCCTCTCCTGCTGCTCCCAGCAGATAAACTTTTATTTATTTATTTATTTATTTTTTTAAATTATGCCAGGAAAGCTTTTCCTGAGGTTTTTCTGAACTCGAGCCGGGAGAATAAAACTGCTGGCTCAGGGGTTTATTTTAGGGCTCAGCTGCCATCCTGTGCTGCCCTAACCACGGGGCTGGGGCTGGGGTGAGGGGTGGCCACAGTGGGGTGCACTCGGGGCGGGGGGGTGGTTTTGAGGACACCCCACTCCTGGGGGGGACATGGTGATGGGTGGGAAGGATGCCCGTGTGGGGGTGGGGGAAGCCGGGGGGGGGTCGTACACGGAGTTTAACCCCTGTTTTGCCTGCAGGGATGGCGCCCGCGGGGACCGAGGCTGCCCCGGCCCACCGGTGAGGTGCCCCCCAACACCCCCAGCCCCGAGCCTGGACCACGATGAACAAACTGACCTTCCACAACAACAGAGTCATGCAGGACCGCCGCAGCGTTTGCATCTTCCTCCCCAACGACGACTCCCTCAACATCATCATCAACGTAAGGCGGCCAGGGAAAAACCCCCTGAGCACCCACCTCTTCATCACACCCAAGGGCTGGCAACCTTTGGAGGGGGTGTTTGGGGCGGGGGGTGCATTTGCAAGTGCTGCTTTTAATTTTGAGCCCGCCTGCTCTCGCCCTCCTGGGGAAATCACACAAGTTGTTCCCCTTGAAGGCTGAGGCAGGGTTTTACACTCTCCTGCTTCTTCTTGCCTCGATGTGCTGCTGGCAGAGCTGTGATTTTTGGTGGCTGACCTGCCATGTGCCATCCCATCCTCTGGTCCTCCCTCCCCACACCCACTGTGGGTGGCAATTTGGCCTCCTCTACCCCAGCGAATCAGCAGGAGGAGGATTTATCTCTGTTATTCAATATATTTTCCATTTTTTTCATTCCCCACCACCCAATATCCTGTTTTCTGTCCCCAAAGCCATCTCCCTGGCACCGGGCTGGTTGCAGCGAGGTGTCCGCCATCAGTCACTACTCTCAAGTTGCCCCCGTGCATCCCATCCCCTGGTCCCTGCACCCCAGGGTGGGACCCTGCTTTTGGGGACTTCCACGTTGGCCCCATGGAAGAATGAGCCCTGCAGCCCAGCCTGTCACCCCCAAGTCCTGCTTGAGGACCTGGTGAGGGGCTTTGGTGCCACCTGCAGCCCAGCCTGTCACCCCCAAGTCCTGCTTGGGGACCTGGTGGGGGGTTTTGGTGCCACCTGCCCAGCTCAGGTGGGCGTAGATGCAGCAGGGACCACATGTAGGGTTTTTGTGGGTTTTTTTTACAGGTGAAGATTTTGTGCCACGAGTTGCTGGTGCAGGTGTGTGACCTCCTGAGGCTGAAGGACTGTCACCTCTTCGGGCTCAGCGTTATCCAGAGTAAGTCAGGGGCTTATGCCATGAGTTGGGTGCCCTTGGTAGGTCCAGCCTGATGCCATCGGGTGGGGGTGCATGTTGGCCCAAAGGTGGGTGCACCCAACCCTTTGGTGGCCTCTCATTAGGTGACGAGGAGGTTACAAAGCCCCCAAAACCACTCACTGATGGGTTGGGGGGGACAGGGCAGGGCTTGGTGGAATGCAGGGGACATGCAGGGGATGCTGATGGGGACCTGGTGGGGGGTTTTGGTGCCACCTGCCCAGCTCAGGTGGGCGTAGATGCAGCAGGGACCACATGTAGGGTTTTTGTGGGTTTTTTTTACAGGTGAAGATTTTGTGCCACGAGTTGCTGGTGCAGGTGTGTGACCTCCTGAGGCTGAAGGACTGTCACCTCTTCGGGCTCAGCGTTATCCAGAGTAAGTCAGGGGCTTATGCCATGAGTTGGGTGCCCTTGGTAGGTCCAGCCTGATGCCATCGGGTGGGGGTGCATGTTGGCCCAAAGGTGGGTGCACCCAACCCTTTGGTGGCCTCTCATTAGGTGACGAGGAGGTTACAAACCCCCCCAAAACCACCCAGCGACGGGTTGGGGGGGGACAGGGCAGGGCTTGGTGGGATGCAGGGGCCACGCAAGGGATGCTGATGCCACCTCTGCCCCACCCAGACAATGAGCACGTGTACATGGACCTGGCCCAGAAACTCTACAAGTACTGCCCCAAGGAGTGGAAGAAGGAGGCCAGCAAGGTCAGCGGTGAGGTCTTGCATGGAGAGCTGACGGCAGTAAGGCCACCTCTGTCCCCAACGCAGGTCACTTCCAGGACACGGGATCGCAGCCGAGGGGTGGCGGAAGGGGGGGGCTGTCGGCCAGCGTGGGGCTTGGGAGGGGGACAGGAGTCCAAAATGGATAAAACCTGGATGATACTCGATGGCTGTCACCCCAAATGCCACCAATGCCATTCCTTCTACTTCAACAGAATTTTTCAGCTGTCCCATTCTTCCAGTTTCTAAAATGGAGCGTTTGGGGTTTTTTGCGCCCCCCCCCAAAAAAGCACCTTTTAATTATGTCAGTGCAACGTGCCGAGGGGGTTGGCGTGAAGGCTCCAGTGCTGGTGCTTGGGATGGGGACTGGTGGGTGATGGGCTGGGGAGGGACAGTGGCAGTGGGGGGGCTGCAGACCCCTCTGGGTGGGGAGGTCTCTTTAAATCCAAACCCCCTTCGCATTTCAGCATATTGGGGGGAAAAAATGGGTGTCAAACTGGAATTCAGGGGAAAAAAAAGGCTATCGGTGTTAGTGAGTGAACTTTTCCTTGTGGCTTTCACCCCGTGGAGGGGCAAGGGGGTGGCTGTGATGGACCCCCAGGTGAGGGGCTGGGGTGTGATGCCAGGGTCTCTGCAGGAGCCCTGAATATCTTCTCTGTTCCAGGGGATCGACCAGTTTGGCCCCCCCATGATCATCCACTTCCGAGTGCAGTACTACGTGGAGAACGGCCGGCTGATCAGGTAGGGGTCACCCACCCCTCCCCAGGGCGGTGGGCATCTAGCCGGGGCCAGGAGCTGGTAGGGGAGCACCCCGGGGTGCCCCCAGCTTGGACACCACTCCTGGTGTCCTGCAGCCTCGGGATGCTGTGGGAGGGATGCTCCTCCTTTCTGCTGGGGCTCTGTGGCCGGGTACCAGGGGGAGGAGGGGGGTGACAGTGCTCCTGGTGGTGACAAAGCCATTTGGAGGGGCTGGGGGGACATCACATGTAGGGTTTTGTCACAGCTTAACCCTTTGTCACAGCCTGAATATGAGCCGGCCGTGTGCCCAGGTGGCCAAGAAAGCCAACGGCATTCTGGCTTGTATCAAAAATAGTGCGACCAGCAGAAGTAGGGAGATGATTGTGCCCCTGTACTCAGCACTGGTGAGGCCACACCTGGAGTGTTGTGTCCAGTTTTGGGCACCTCAATACAAGAGAGATCTGGAGGTGCTGGAGCGAGTGCAGAGGAGGGCAACGAAACTAGTGAAGGGCCTGGAAGACAAATCATATGAAGAGCGGCTGAAAGAGCTGGGGCTGTTTAGTATGAGGAAGAGGAGGCTGAGGGGAGACCTCATCACTCTCTACAACTTCGTGAAAGGACACTGTAGAGAGGTTGGTGCTGGTCTCTTCTCACAGGTAATTAGTGACAGAACGAGAGGGAATGGCTTCAAGCTCCAACAGGGTGGGTTTAGACTGAACATTAGGAAAGAATTTTTCACCGAAAGAGTGGTCGGGCATTGGAACAGGCTGCCCAGGGAGGTGGTGGAGTCCCCATCCCTGGATGTGTTTAAGGGCCGTTTAGATGCAGTGCTGAGGGACATGGTGTAGGAGAGAACTTTGTAGAGTAGGGGAGATGGTTGGACTCGATGATCCCAAGGGTCTCTTCCAACCTCAATGATTCTATGATTCTATGATTTTAATCAGCCTGTGGCTGGGTGGGAACTTCGGGTCCTGTCTTTGGGGAAAAAGTGATTTTCAGGGTCTCGGGCACGTGGGGACACGGTGGCATCTGGGGACACGGTGGCGTCTGCAGCCCCGCAGGGATGCTTTTTGGGGGGGTTGTTATTCCACCTGCAGGAGGACATTTCAGCCCCATTTTTCACCACCTCGTGGGAGCCTTGGCTTTAATAGGGAGAGGGGAAAGGGGGCAAACGACTGGGCACCCAGCCCCGCTCCCTCCGTAAGAGCTTTGCGGTGGGTGGAAGGAGCTGGAGGTGGTGCAGGTCACGGGGTGGGTGTCCCCTTGGCACTTTTCTCCTTCTCTCCTCTCTCCTCCTCTCCCCCCCACCCCCTGCAGTGACCGGACGGCTCGTTATTACTATTACTGGCACCTGAGGAAGCAAGTGCTCCATTCCCAGTGTGTCCTGAGGGAAGAGGCCTATTTCCTCCTCACCGCCTTCGCCCTCCAAGCCGACCTGGGCGACTTCAAACGCAACAAGCACTACGGGAAGTACTTCGAGCCCGAAGCCTATTTCCCTGCCTGGGTGAGTGCCTCACGAGGTGGTCCCCCCACCTCTAAGCACGGGTAGAACCCTCCCACCCAACCCCCTGCCAATTTTAAACTGAAAGAGGGGAGATTGAGATGAGATCTGGGGAAGAACTTCTTTGGTGTGAGGGTGGTGAGAGCTTGGCCCAGGTTGCCCAGAGAAGCTGTGGCTGCCCCATCCCTGGAAACATTCCAATCCAGGCTGGAGGGGGCTTGGAGCAACCTGGTCTGGTGGGAGTTGTCCCTGCCCAGGGCAGGGGGTGTGGAACCAGATGATCTTTAAGGTCCCTTCCAACCCAAACCATTCCGTGATTCTATGATGCTGATGATGCTGAGCTGCTCAGAAGCTTTGATCCCACTGTCTATGTCATTGGTGAAGATACTGAACAGTACTGGTCCCAGTAGAGACCCCTGAGGGACACCCACTTGTCACGGATGGATGCTGGCAAGGGGAAGATTAGTAGAAGTTGTAGGCACCATTACCTGCTTTATGTGCTTTCTGGAGTTTGCCCCGAATCTGCCACCTTCTCTTTTTGTTGTGTGTGTCACTGAGGAGTGATGGCCTCAGGGCCATATCTCCAGCCACACAGGGACCCCATCCCTGCCTCTCCCTGCCCTGGACTGGGCATCACCGGTGGTGGGAGCTCCATGGGGTGGGCACGCAAAGCAAACACGCACTTCCCAGTGGGAAATCCTGGGGGTGACAAGTTGTGGGCTGCTGTATTCATTTCATTTTTGCTTGCAGCTCTGAAATAGAGCTCCCTTTTCCCTGGAAATTGCCGCTGCCCGGGACCACCGGGGGCTGGCAGCTCCCCTGGACCAGCTTCTCTTCTCCTCCAAACAGGTGGTTGCCAAGAGGGGCAAGGACTACATCCTCAAGCACGTCCCCAACATGCACAAGGATCAGTTTGCCCTGACGGCCTCCGAAGCCCATCTCAAGTACATCAAGGAGGCCGTGCGGCTGGACGACGTGGCCGTGCACTACTACAGGTTGTACAAGGTACATCCCTGCCAATTTTTGATCCATTATGGAGAGGCAAGAGGTTTGCCGGGATGCGGGGAGGCAGCCATGAGGTTTCAGGGATCTTATTCCTCAGTCTCCCTCTCCCTAAGAAATACATGCTGGGTTTTTTCTCCCAGCAAAGAGATTTGTTTGCTGGGAGCTGGTGCTCCACAACCCGTTTTGTAACATCCTTAAATTAAAGAGGAGAAGTTTGCCTTCGGGAGAACGCAGGGAATGGCAAGTACAGGGAGCAGCTGGGCACGGCAAGGGGGTACCTTGTCAAAAGGGGCTGTTAAAAAAATATAAAACCCCTTATTTCCAGCCCCCCAAGGGAGATGTGAGGGGGACAGTGGCCACGTGCGTGGCTGGTGCCATTCGTGGTGCTGCGGGCAGGGTGGGCTGTGCCACTGTCCCCCTTCTCTGCCCCGCTGTCACCCGCTCTGTGCTGGTGATGGAGCAGGTTGGGCTGAAGCGTAGAAGTGCCCCAGCTCCTGCTTCTGAAAATCCTTCCATCTTTTCTGAGGTTAAACTGCTTTCCCAGACCCTTGTGCTGGAGTGTTTCTGGGTGGTGAAGGAGTGGCCGGTGCCTAGGAGTGTGTGTGCAATATTAATTAATTAATATTAATTAAACAGTTAGACCTAATGATCTTAAGGATCTTTTCCAACCTAAATGGGGCACCTACTGCCCGAGGCTGTTGTTGCACAGGAGATGGGGTGATGAGAGGAGGATACCTGGGCTGGAAGGGACAGATTTATCCACTTCGTGCTGCAAATCTTGTATTTGAAAGCATCTGTGTTTGTTTTCCTTAGGACAAGAGGGAGGTGGAAGCCTCCCTGACGCTGGGGCTGACGACGAGGGGCATCCAGATCTTCCAGGTAGGCGACTGAGTGAGAGTGATGGCTCAGCTTCCTCCCCACCATCAGCATCCTCAGCTGAGACTCTCCCTCCTCTTTTTACAGAACATGGATGAAGAAAAGCAGCTGCTCTACGACTTCCCATGGACAAATGTGGGGAAACTGGTGTTTGTGGTGAGTGCCACCATCTCCAGGCAGAGCATCTCTGCCCGTGTTGCTCCTGGGCTCTGATTTAGCGTGGGGTGGTGTCACACAGACCTCAGTACATAGAATCGTAGAATGATTTGAGTTGGAAGGGACCTTAAAGACCATCCTGTCCCACCCCTGCCCTGGGCAGGGACACCTCCTACCAGACCAGGTTGCTCCAAGCCCTCTCCAACCTGGCCTTGAACCCCTCCAGGGATGGGGCAGCCACAGCTTCTCTGGGCAACCTGGGCCAGGCTCTCACCACCCTCACAGCAAAGAAGTTCTTCCTGAGATCTCAGAATCACAGAATCTTCTAGGTTGGAAGGGACCTTAAAGATCATCTTGTCCAACTGTCAACCTAACTGACAAAAATAGACACCCACACAACAAACAAGAAGCATCACCATCACTAAACCATACCTCCCAGCACTACATCAACCCGTCTTTTGAACACCTCCAGGGATGGTGCCTCAACCACCTCCCTGGGCAGCCCATTCCAATGGCTGAGAACCCTTTCAGTGAAAAATTTTTTCCTAATATCCAGCCTGAACCTCCCCTGGCGTAACTTGAGGCCATTTCCTCTCATCCTGTCGCCTGTGACTTGAGAAAATCTCAATCTCCCCTCTTTCAGTGTCAAACCCTTCCTTCTCATCCTACGCCTCCCCTCCCTGATCAAGAGTCCCTCCCCATTTTTCCTGGAGCCCCTTTAGGTGGGCTGCAGCAGGGACTTGGGGAGAATTGGGGCATTTTTCTCTCTGGGGCTGATGTTCCCCCTTCTCCCATGCAGGGCAAGAAGTTTGAGATCCTGCCAGACGGGTTGCCCTCAGCAAGGAAGCTCATCTACTACACGGGCTGCCCTCTGCGCTCCCGCCACCTCCTGCAGCTGCTCAGCAGCAGCCACCGGCTCTACATGAACCTGCAGCCCATCCTGCGCCAGGTCCGCAAGCTGGAGGAGAACGAGGGTAGGTGTCCCCACCCCAGGGTGCAAATCCCACCCCTGCCAGGCTCCTACATGGCTTTTTCTCCCCGTACGAGCGCCTGGTCCTTGTGCCAGCCCCGTGGGGGTGGCTGTCCCCACATCCCCCTCAACCGTGTGTCAGTGCACCTTGGTTCTGCCTGACAATTAGACCCTCTCCTGGTGGGGCTGGATGCCCACAGACACCCCCCCCGGCTGCTTAGTGGGGGGCACTACCTCCATGGCAGCCCCTGATGGCCCAGTTCCTCCCAGTGCCCCAGTACAGCGCTTCCCAGTGCCCTCTGTCCCATCTCCAAGCTCAGAAAGCCCTTGTGCAAACATAAGATCTTCCTCATCTTCTTCTTTCCCCTCTTCATGTTCCTCTTTCCCCTCCTCATCTTCTTCCTCCTCTCCTCTTCCTTCTTCTCTTCTTCCTCTTCTTCCTCTTCTTCCTCTTCTTCCTCTTCTTCCTCTTCTTCCTCTTCTTCTTCCTCCTCCTTTCTTCTCATCGTCCTCATCCTCCCCTTCCTCCTCCTTTTCTTCATCCTCTTCCTCCTCTTCTTCTTCTTCTTCATCTTCTTCCTCCTCCTCGTCCTCATCTCCATCCTCACCTTCTTCCTCCTCATCTTCTTTCTTCTCATCATCCTCCTCATCCTCCCCTTCCTCCTCCTTTTCTTCATCCTCTTCCTCCTCTTCTTCTTCATCTTCATCTTCTTCCTCCTCCTCGTCCTCATCTCCATCCTCACCTTCTTCCTCCTCATCTTCTCTCTCTTCATCATCCTCATCCTCCCCTTCCTCCTCCTTTTCTTCATCCTCTTCCTCCTCTTCTTCTTCATCTTCTTCCTCCTTCTTGTCCTCATCTCCATCCTCACCTTCTTCCTCCTCATCTTCTCTCTCCTCATTGTTGACATCTTCTCTCTCTTCTTCTTTCCCCTCCTCATCCTCATTTTCTTCCTCCTCTTCCTTCTCCTCATCTTCCCCTTCTCCTCCTCCTTTGGTTGTTGACATCTTCTCTCTCTTCTTTTCCCTCCTCCTCCTCATTCTCTTCCTCCTCATCCTCATTTTCTTCCTCCTCTTCCTTCTCCTCATCTTCCCCTTCTCCTCCTCCTTTGGAGCAGGAGAAGAGCACAGCAGGTTTGAGGCTCTCCACCTCACCACCCCCAAATGCCACCAGGACAGGGGCTGGCTCCTGGTGTGCCACCCCGCTGGGCTTGGGTGCCTGGGTAGCAGTGGGGGGACACCCTGGGGGGACACGCCGTGTGGTGACGGCGTTCCACTGGCCTCGCAGAGAAGAAGCAGTACCGCGAGTCCTACATCAGCGACACCCTGGACCTGGACATGGAGCAGCTGGAGAAGCGCTCGCGGGCCAGCGGCAGCAGCGCCGGCAGCATCCGGCACAAGCGCCTCTCCCGACACTCCACCACCAGCCACAGCAGCTCCCACACCTCGGGCATCGAGGCCGACCCCAAACCCAGGGAGATGGGGCCCGAGGACGGCTTCTCGGGCGCCAGCGCCCACCGCAAGCTGAAGACCTGCAGCTCCATGACCAGCCACGGCAGCTCCCACACCTCCGGGGTGGAGAGCGGTGGGAAGGACCGGCTGGAGGAGGACTCCCAGGATGATGGTGAGACACCAGCTGAGCGTGAGCTTTCCAGCTCGGGTCTCAGCATATATTTTGGGGTTGGAGGGTGGTTTGAAGGTGAGTCAATGACTTGTTCCACCTCCTCCCCGCCTGCAGAGATCGAGATGCTGGTGGATGACCCCCGGGAGCTGGAGCAGGCTGGGGAGATGGAGGTGAGCCCCGACATGTGCGTCTACATCACGGAGGACATGCTGCTCTCGCGCAAGTTCAACGGGCACTCGGGTAAGGTGGCAGACACTTTTATTTCCAATTCCCCAACACCAGTCACACCTTTGGGGTTTGTCAGAGAGAAATTATCCCAAAGTGTCCGTTTGGGACCCCTGGAGAAGCTGTTTGCTCAGTGGGTTGAAGGAGAGATGGAGTAAACTTGGTGGAGCTCTGAAAAGAAGGGGTTGCCCAGGAAAGGTGCAGGTTTTACTCAGAGCAGGGCTGATGCTCTCTGAAGCTGCCCCATGGCCAACCAGGATGTTTGGAGATCCCAAGGGACAATTACAGGAGCAGCCCATGGGCAATGGACATAATTTTGGTGACGTTCTCAATTGCTGCCCTCAACTCTTGTTTTCATGACAACCCCTCACTCGTTCCCATGAGCACGGGTGCTGTTATCACACATGTGAGCCTGGCTTCTCAGGAGCTGTGCCTGTGTCCAGAGTCATCCACATTCCCAGCTCTGTGCTGGGTGCTACTGGGAGGTCTCTGGGGTGCCAGGCTCCCTGGGGATGGTTTTGGATGCCATTTTGGTGCAAATTTGGAATGCTTTGTAGGTAAAGTTGGTTGCAAGTGGAGCCATTGGGGCAAAGGCTCCAGTTTTGGGCCCCTTGCGACAAGAAAGACATTGAGGGGCTGGAGCAGGTCCAGAGAAAGGCAACAGAGCTGGTGAGGGGTCTGGAGCACAAGTCTTGTGAGGAGAGGCTGAGGGAGCTGGGGGTGTTCAGCCTGGAGAAGAGGAGGCTGAGGGGAGACCTTCTCGCTCTCTCCAACTCCCTGAAAGGAGGGTGTAGCCAGGGGGGGTCGGTCTCTGCTCCCAAGGAACAGGCCATGGGACAAGAGGAAACGGCTTCAAGTTGTACCAGGGGAGGTTTAGGATGGATATTGGGAAAAATTTGTTCACCAAAAGGGTTATCAAGCCTTGGAAGAGGCTGCCCAGGGCAGTGGTGGAGTCCTCATCCCTGGAGGTACTTAAAAGTGGGGCAGACGTGGTGCTGAGGGACATGGGTTAGTGGTGGGTTTTGTCAGTGTTGGGTTGATGGTTGGACTTGGCGTTCTTAAAGGTCCCTTCCAACCTGGATGATTCTATGATTCCAAAGGCACCCTATTGAGCTGAGGGTGCCTTCACCCCAAAGCAAGAGAAAGCCCCCAGAAGCACAGATCCCAAGAGAGCTGAGAAGCCTCGAAATAACCTTCACACCCTCCTCTTCCTCTCTCCCCCATGCAGGACTTATCGTGAAAGAGATCAGCTCCTCCACCTCCAGCTCCTCGGAGACGGTGGTGAAGTTGCGAGGGCAAAGCACCGACTCCTTACCCCAGGTACGTGGCACTGGTGAGGCTCTGGAGAAGCCCATAGCCCTGCTGGTGCCGGGGGGTTGTATTTCCCTGACCCCCTTGTCTCCTGGGTGGGTCCTGAGCCCCCTCTCTGCTTTGCCCAGACGGCGTGCAGGAAACCGAAGACCTCGACAGACCGGCACAGCCTGAGCCTGGATGACATTCGGCTCTACCAGAAGGACTTCTTGCAGTTGGCCAACCTCTGCCAGGACACGGCCCAGAGCTACACCTTCGGCTGCGCCCACGGGCTGGAGGAGGAAGGGCTCTACTGCAACGGCTGCTTGGCCCAGCAGTGCATCAACATCCAGGAGACCTTCCCCGTCAAAAGAACCAGCAAATACTTCTCCTTGGATCTCACCCACGACGAAGTCCCCGAGTTCGTCGTCTGAGGACCTCAGCGGGGGGGAGGCTGGGGCTCCCTGCCCTTCATCGGGGGTCGTCAACACCGCCTTGTCCCCCACCCATTCCCTGCAAACCGAGGGCACTTGGAGGATGGCCCCGACGGCAGGTGGGATGGAGAACCCCGGGCACGGCGGAGTCCCACCGGCGAGGTCCCCCACCATCCTTCCTCCTCTGGATGAGTTTGTGCCAAACACAAGTTGTCTTATTTCCACTGGGAGAAGCGCAATTCGTTTGGGCCAACCTGTGGGTCGAGGTGGCCTCTTCTCCTCCTTGCCCCCATCCTCAGTGCCGCTGGTGGCTCCAGCGGTGGCTTGGTGGCCACCGACGCCGGAGAGGAAGCGCCAGACCGTGGTGTTCAAGTCAAGCCAAAGAAATGTAAATAACCCTAAAGGCCAGTATGGGGAGGGAGAATTAAGCAATAACCAGCCGGGGATCCCCGGGTGACGTGCGGTGGAGGACAGCATGGCCAGCATCATCCAAGTTCTTCCAAAAACAAGTGCTGGAGGTCAGGCCAGAGTGGTCCTCCCAGCGAGGTGGACGGCGGTTGGGACCTCCGGCGCCATTTGCAGCTTGTTTTTTTTTTCTTTCTTTTTGAGAAAAAAAAACAAAACAAAACAACCCAAACCAAAAAAAAAAAAAAAGAGCAAACCACCCCACCCAAGAAAACCAAAAGCGAAGGAGAATGGAAAAGAATAGGTCACCTCTAAGGATATTGCAATAATGCAGCCCAAACTTGGAACACATCGAGATTAATTACATATATAAATATATCGAGGTATGGATGTTTATATATTTCTGGATCTTATAGACCCATTTGCGTTTTACTTCTGCTCTAAAGTACCTTTTATACAAAGGAGCTGCCTTTCTTCTCTAACGAACCCTTACAAACGATCGTATGGTTGGTTGTTTTTTTATTTTCTAAGCACCAAGGTGAGAAAATAAGACTTTCCTCTTGAGGAGAAACACAAACCCAACCCTCCTGGGAAGCCTGGCTCTTCCTGGCGCGGTCTCCACTGTATTTTACCAAGGCTTTTTCCATGTGTCTTCAAAATCTCTTAACAGTTGGAAGGGTTCTGCTAAAGGATGGGGGTGACGTGCTAGAAAAAAAAAAAACCCTGAGTGTGTTGTGTGGGTGCCCAGGTGGAATATTCAGGAATATTCACCGTCAGGTACCAGAGGGTGAAGCGTCCCAGCAGCTGATATTCACAGCACAATGCCTTTTTAATTTTTGGTTCAGTCCATGTTTTTAATTAGAGTTTAGCGACCGACAGCCAAAGTTTTGCCGTATTTTGATACGCCACCATTTCTTTTTTTTAAACTGGAAAGCTTTTCTTAAAAAAAACAAAAACAAAAAAACCAAATTATTATTATTTTATAAATAAATAAGCACAATCTTATTTTTCTAAGAAACGGTGGGGGAGGGAGCCCAGAAAAGGGGGAACTGGTACCAAAAGGAAAGGAGCGTAGCTGTCGGAGGGGGGGCAAAAAAAAAAATGAAAATTGGTGTTATTGCAATAGGGGAGCTGGCAGGGGAGACGTCGGGTGGCAAAATAATATAGGGCCAGCAGGAGGCTGGTGCCCCCCCGCAAAAAACCCTCTCTTTTTCTCCCCCAAAGGAGAGATGCTGTGGGGGAAGCTCGGGGCTATGTGCTCTGGTTTTGGGGGGAACCCACCAAACACCCCAAAAACCCTTCTTGTGGGCACCACACCCCAGGCTGGGATGTGGGGGGTTGCTGGCAGTGCCCCCCCC